CGGCAATCATCATATTTTTCTCAAACAAAAGAAAATACTGATGAAATAATTAAAGATAAATTACGTTTTTATACAAAATGTTTAAAACAATTAGCATCGACTTCGAATATAAAAGAAAAATTTCAACATGAACCATTAAAAAGTGATTTAATGAATAAACCGTGGTGTTTAGCTTATCGAATAATTGAAAATAATGAAACTATTTTTGAAATAGTAAAACCAACTGATGTTTATCTTAATGATGATCATCAATCAGTAATTGATCTTCAACCATTATGTGCACCGGATGAATTAGATATAATTAAATTATATGAAATATTTGGAGCACAATGGTTATCGGAAACTGTAAAAAGAACTTTAATTCATACTGGTTTGTTAGTCTATCTTTATTTTTGAAGATTTCTATATGAAATTTCATTTTTAAGGTCAAATATTTACGACAGAGCGAAGTAAACAACTTTCGGAATTGATTGATTATCGTTTGGATATGTTATTTGTAAATAAAAGAGTAAGAAATTATATTTTGTAAAATGAGAAGAAAGATGATCATTTTTTTAGGGAGATTATTTAGAAAATATTGATGAAAAACGTTTAGATTTATTACGAAAAAATTTATTTGTTTATGAAAGTGAAGGAATTCAATGTGAAATAACATTTCAAGATCGAACAATTAAATTAGATAAATCAACAAATTGTAGTTCATGTGTTCTTGAATATGATAAAAATCAAGTGAATTTATATATTCATAAAGATCTTCCAACACTTGATTATATTGATATTGTCAGTGAATTAACTCGATTTGTTCATCGAAAACCACTTGAAACATTAGTTCATTCAATTAGTGATAAACTTTCATCACCATTAGAAACACTTAAACGACGTGGAATACCTGTTGATAGATTATTAAAAAATAAACAACGTAAGTTAAATTATTATTCATGATTTATTCGACTGAAAATGTTAATGTATCTTTTTAAGCGCTAAAATTATTATTGAGAAAAGAAAATATTTTACAAGATTTTGATTCTCATTATCAACAATCGATAGAAAAAGCATCAGATGGATTTCTTCAAAGTTTGAAAGATTTCTTAACTCCTTCAATTGAAAATTATTCAAGTAATATTAAAAGAAATTGTATAGATGATTTTGGAAAACATCAAAATTTAAATAAAATTGATTTGAATCAAATAACACAAACAAGTCGTTCATATTCACAAAATGAATTTCAACATTCGGAATATTCACGACGTGAAAATAATAATTTATGTGAATATATTCCATC